TTGTTAATTGACCCCTTAAGGAGTTATTGCCCTTTATGATCAGTTTTTAACAATATTTTGTAAATTTTTGTAATCTTTTACAAAAATCTTCTCTGAAACTACTGAGACAAGTTTTACCAAACTTGGCCATAATCATCATAAGGGTATCTAGTTTTAAAAATATATCTGATGACCCCGCCTGCCAACCAACATGGCAGACATGGCTAAAAATAGAACATAGGGGTAAAATGCAGTTTTTGGCTTATATCTCTGAAACTAAAGCATTAAGAGCAAATCTGACATTGGGTAAAAATGTTCATCAGGTTTAAATCTATCTGCCCTGACATTTTCAGATAAATCAGACAACTCGTTGATGGATTGCTGCTCCTAAATTGGTAATTTTAAGGAAATTTTGCAGTTTTTTTGGTTATTATCTTAAATATTATTATAGATAGAGATAAACGGTAAAAACAGCAATAATGTTCAGCAAAGTACGATCTACAAATAAGTCAATATGACCAAAATTATCAATTGAACCATTAAGGAGTTATTGCCCTTTATAGTAAATTTTTCGTAATTGTTTGTAATCTTTTACAAAAATCTTCTCCACTTAATCTACTGGGCCAAGTAGAATTAAACTTGGCCACAATTTTCAGTAGGGTATCTTGATTGAAAATGTATCCGATGACCCTGTCATCCAACCAACATGGCCGCCATGGCTAAAAATAGAACACAGGGGTTTACTATAGAAGTCTTAGGGAAAATTGTAAAAAAAACTATTTCAAATGGTCACAACTTAAAAAAACTAATTTAAATAATGATAAGGGGTCTTCATCAGTAACTATTGTAAGATTAAAATAGGATGACCTGCTTAACTAATGGGCCAAATTAAACCAAACTTGGCCTCAATCATTATTTGGGTAACTTATACTATTTATCATGATTTTAACCTTATTTTACATGATTTCCAAAAACACAGTAGATACAGGTGAGGGACACAGGCTCTTGAGAGCCTCTAGTTACTTTTTTTGGTAAATGTTTTGAAGAACTTTGTGGTTTGTTTGTTATTCTGTATAAATTAATTTTCAGAATGCTATATATGTATAATTCGTCTCAAATCAAAAGGTACACCATCTCCTTGCCACTATACATCATGAACTGTGTTACAACCTTAGATAAAGCCGACGATGAAAGCCATTACATTGACCACCGAATGCTACATTTTTATGTAGCCTAGGTGGTCGAGTGGTCTAGGGCACTGGACACAGTGCAGGCGAGTTTTGCCACGATTGTCACAGATGCAAGGGTTCAAATTCTGCTGAGGGAAGAACAAAATTTGCTAACGCAAATGAAGATCTAACATTGTTGAGCTATATTTGAGACGAAATATATATGTATTATGGTGTGAGTCCTGTATAACCGTGTGTTATCCATTGGAGAATGTCTGTCATAAAGTTGTCACATGTTTAGACATGTATATATATATATATATTTATTTATTTTTATGCCCCCGCCGTAACGGAGGGGGCATTAACTTTTACCCCTGTCCGTCCGTAAGTCTCGAAATTGGTTTCCGTTCTCTAACTTAAGAGCACCTCAACCAAATGTTATGAAACTTATTCACAATGCTTATTTCCACAAAAGACAGATCAAATTTGAATTTCAGTGGCTTCACTTTTACAATTCTAGAGTTATGCCCCTTTATTATTTTTCGTTTCCGTTCTCTAACTTTAGTTTGCCTAACTTAACGTTATGAATCTTGTACACAATGCTTATTACCACAAAACACAGGTAAAGTTTGAATTTTGGTGGCATCACTTTTACCGTTCTAGAGTTATGCCTCTTTACAAATGGAAAAATTGCTAAAATTTTCGTTTCCGTTCTCTAACTTAAGTTTGCCTCAACCAAATGTTATGAAACTTATACACAATGCTTATTACCACAAAACACAGGTCAAGTTTTGGTGGCATCACTTTAACTGTTCTTGAGTTATGTCCCTTAATAACGTAATATGCAAGCAGGGGCATCACCTGTGTCCCATGGACACATTCCCCATTTATTTTTGATGAAGCAACCCCCTTTAAAAACTTAGCTCATATTGTCCATTAATAGATAAATAAATCAATTAAATTCTTGGTGTACTTGGATATGCTGAATCTGTCCAAATCAGGGTCCAAAATTAAACTTTGGTTGATTTCAACAAAAATGGAATATATGTGGTTCTTTGATATACTGTCTCACAATTTGTATTTAGATTTTTGATTTTGGGGCCTGTTATCAAATTGGTCCTTATTGTGGTCCAAAGGGTCCAAACTTTTGTTTGATTTCATCAAACATTAAAATTCTTGGGGTTCTATGATATGCTGAATCTAACCGCGTACATGTATTTAAATTTTGGATATTGGACCATAATAGATAAAAGTCCAATTTCAAATTTTTCAGTTCTTTGACCACATTCATTCTGTGTCAGAAACCTATGCTGGGTCAAATATTTAATCACAATCCAAATTCAGAGCTGTATCAAGCTTGAATGTTGTGTCCATACTTGCCCCAACTGTTCAGGGTTCGACCTCTGCGGTCGTATCAAGCTGCGTCTAGCGGAGCATTTTATAAAAATTGGAGTTATCTTCCTTTGTCCATGATTATAGTTGAATCAACTACAATCAATGCTTTATACAATCAATGTTTAATTTTGACTTCCACTGATAAAACACAGATCAAGTTGAATTTGGGTAGTGTCATTTTAACCATTATTGGGTTATGCCTTTTTATAAATCGATAGAATGCAAAATTTTTAGTTTCCATTCTGTTACTTAAATTTGCCCCAACCAAACATTATGAAACCTATACACAATATTCATAACCACAAAACTAAGATCAAGTACAAATTTTTTGTTTCCGTTTTCTAACTTTAGTTTGCCTCAACCAAATGTTATGAAACTTATACACAATGCTTATTACTACATAATACAGATTGAGTACGGAATTTGGTGGCGTCACTTTTACCATTCTTGAGTTATGTCCCTTTATAAACACAAAAATTGCTGAATTTTTCGTTTCCGTTCTCTAACTTTAGTTTGTCTCAACCAAATGTTATAAAACTTATACACAACCGTTCTAGAGTTATGCGTGTTTACAAATAGAAAAATTGCTGAATTTTTAGTTTCTGTTCTCTACTTAAGTTAGCCTCAACCAAATGTTATGAGACTTACACACAATGCTTATTACCACAAAACTCAGATCACTATCCACATTTATTTAAACCAAGAATATGTTATTTATTAAAAATTTAAATTTAAGTTTACATTAAAAGCACTGTTTGACAATATTGTCCTTTTCTAAAAACACATAAACAATTATTAAAAATATTTACCCCAAAGTGTAAGCTAATTTTTTAAAGTGTATTTAGCAATACATATATTTAGTTATTGCCTTCAAAGGATTATTTTACATTTTTTTACGTTTTTCTGAAAACTGCTTGAAATATATTCTCATTGCATTGTATTAATTTTACACACAATTGACAAGATGAGCGATCCAGGCTCATTGGAGCCTCTAGTTTGAAAAGGGAAAAGAGGGGGTGGGGGGACTAGTTTAAATATTCCTAATAAATAATGAATCATGTCATTGGTTTTCCCTTTTAATTTGTCATGTTGAGGCCTTTCATAGCTAACAACAAAATATGGGTTTTGCTCATTGTTGAAGGCCGCTGGGTAAACTATAGTTTTTTGTGTCCTTGTCCTTTGGTTTGTGGAGGACAATTGTCTCATTGGCAATAAAACAACATCCTCTTATTTTTATAGAAATAAAGTATGCCAGTAGTTCAGTTATGCTCTAAGGTATGTGAGCTTGCTCTCTGTAGGTTTTTTTATTAGATTTTTATATGCCCGTTTACGGGATGTATTATGGTATACCGTTGTCCGTCCGTCTGTCGTCAACATGTCGGACATTAATTCAAAAACGCTTTAACCAATATGCATGAAACTTTGGTAAATTGTTAATATCTATTGATGTGAGCTCCCTTTCGTTTTTTATAAATTTCGGATTTACCGTTTCCGAGTTTTTGGGTTTTATTCATTAAAAAGGGGGGATTTTCTAGTTTTCGGACAATAACTCGAAAACAATTTCACCAATTTGCATCAAACTTTTGTGAATTGTTTATATCTATTGACATGAGCTCCCTTTTGTTTTTTATAAATTTCAGATGTACCGTTTCCGAGTTTTGGGGTTTTATTCATTAAAAAAGGTGGGATTTTCCAGTTTTCCGACAATAACTCAAAAACAATTTCCCCAATTTGCAAGAAACTTTGGTGAATTGTTTATTTCTATCGACATGAGCTCCCTTTTGATTTTTATAAATTTTAGACTATATGTTTTCGATTTATGGGTTTTTTTTCATCACAAAAAGGGTGATTTTCCAGTTTTCAGACAATAACTCAAAAATGATGAAAGCATTTTGAAACTTTGGTAAATTGTTTATATCTATTGATGTAAGCTCCCTTTTGATTTTTATAAATTTTCGATTTTATGTTTCCGTGTTATAAGATTTTATTTGTTTATAGTCTGACAACAGATTTACTAAGTATTGCGCAACAGCACAGTGTATTGCACAACAACACAGTGTATTGTACAACAGCAAGAAATCTTTAGTTGAATATAAATTCAATTCATATAACCAATTTCAAGTTCTTTGACTACATTTATTCAGAAACCTATAATATGTCAAATATTTAATTACTATCCAAATTCAGACCTGTATCAAGCTTGAATATTGTGTCCATTTTTGCCCCAACTGTTCAGGGTTGGACCTCTGCGGGCGTATCCAGCTGCGCTCAGCGAAGCAGTTTATTTTGTCCCTATCTCCTTTGTAACCACTGAATTTTCCTAGAATCTCTTTTTGAATAATGCCATTGTGCACCTCTTATTTAATTTTGTGCACCTGTATGATTTTTGTTGTTTCCCTAAACAAAACATGAATATCACCTTGTATTTAAGTTATATTTTACGTCTATGTTTTCCAGGAAGAAATGAACTTATTGCAAGATATATAAAGTTACGGACAGGAAAGACCAGAACTAGAAAACAAGTCTCTAGTCACATACAGGTTCTTGCAAGAAGGAAAGCAAAAGAAATACAAGCACAGCTTAAGGTATTAGATTAAATCTAACTTTACAAAATAAACATCAGCTGCTGTGAGTAATTTTAAACTGTTGTAAATCAGGACTGATTTTCCGGCAAAATTGATATGGAATGAACGGATAAAATTTAGATACATTTAATTCATTGATTCAGTTTACATCCATGCACAAAAAAACTAGATCTCTTCTGTTGGAAATACATATTCCCCAGATATTTTATCCCTTCATTGTATGTAGAAAAAACTAACTCTACCATATGCAGCAGCAATGTTAAGAAATGAAAAACAAAATATGAAAAAGAATTACGACAAAAACATTTCTGGGTATTTCTGTAGTATCTTGCCATCTAAATTTATCCACAGCCACTTTTAGAAAGCAGACAGACCGGCAAAATGAGATTCCAATATGATTATAAGCCTCAAACAAAACATGTGTAGGCTAATGGCAGATTCCAAATAAGAAAGTTGAAAAATTCCCAAAATTATGTTTAACAAAATCAACACCAATGAAGTTCTGTTTTGGAATACATGTTATACTTATATAAGTAAACACTTTTTGACAAAAAATAGATCTATTCACATTATATTTTTTAAATAAAGAACACCTTAAAAAAATGTTGCTATCATGACAAAATTGACAGACATTTTGACGGAAAATTCTTATGTTAGCAACACAAACAATCCTGATATCTTCAGTATTTTCAAGGTTTGGATGTATATCTTGCTTAAATACGAAAGGCAAATTGGAATTAAATATTTCTTAACATCTGCACCAATTAAAAAGGAATTGTAATAACTTTAAAAAAGGATTATCTTGGAGTTGCTAACATAAGATTTGACAGACATGAACAATGCTGCTAACATAAGATTTGACAGAAATGAAGTTGTTGCTAACATAAGAATTGACAGACTTTATTGTTGCTAACATAATATTTGACGGACTTTTTTGTTGCTAACATAATATTTGACGGACTTTTTTGTTGCTAACATAAGATTTGACGGACATTATTGTTGCTAACATAAGATTTGACAGACTAAATAGTGTTGCTAACATAAGATATTGACGGACTTGTTGCTAACATAAGATTGTGCTAACATAAATAAATTTGACGGACAATATATATTTGAGATTTTTAACTAACATTGGAGATCTTATCCTAGTTGAAAGTCATATTAAGAACTCCTGCAAAATACCGCTGCCTGACATTTAACAAGATTTCAACCAAGGACAGATAACTCTAAATTGTAGCACATCCAAATGTTGCTAACATAAGGTGACAAGTTTGACAGAACTTATGTTAGCAACAGATTTGATAAAACTATTGATTAAATAAAGTAAATTGAAAGATCCAAAATGTGTATGTTTAATGTACATTATGAAATACAATTTTAACAGGCTTATATAAGTACCTACAATGATGTGGCAAGATTTTATGAACATGTTGCTATCATAACATTTATTGACAGACGAGCATCTAATAAGCAAGGTATTTGAAATTGAAAAAAAATATATATCACAGATGTTTTTAACAAAAGAAAAGCAAAAGATTTGGAAACAGGGATGTTTGAATAATCAGACTACACTAATAAAAACCATTATACCAGTGTCAACTTAAAGCATTGTAAAACATAAACCTTGTGTCAAAAAATGGGAAGTAATTTCCGTCAAACATTTCACATTTTTCAACTTGTTTTGATCATTTCTACTTTTAATGGAAACAATCATATCCAATAATTGGTTTTCTTGCTTTATTTAACATTACTATTCAATAAAACATTCACATATTATCATTCAAATAACAGTTAGTATTATTTTTCTTAATTTGTTCTTTTTGACGAAAATTTTCTTTTCTTTATGGAATCTGCCTAATAGTTCTTTATAGTTTGTTTTTGTCATTGTGCATCCTTTGTTCACTATAAACTTTTTCAAAGTCTTCTCTGAAACTGATGACTTTCATTCAATATAGACTTATATCTGGCAATCTGCTACCAAGCAATGCATAACATTTATTAGAGTTTGTAGATTATACATAATTGGTACCTTAGATTGCTGGCATGATAGAAAAAAAATTATGATTTATGGGTCTTTATTTACAAGACAATACTGAATGGACTTAAGAGCAATTATTTTTTTATAAAAAGAAAAAATGCCTTTCCAGTGCTTTCAGGGTTTTATTGTTGGTTCTTCATCTTTTATTAATCGACTGATCAAGATTATAAGAATAACTAGTTACGCCCAGCTACATATTCATGTGCCTGTCCTTAATTGAGAAACTTAAGTTAATTGTTTTATGTCATATCTTAATGTTCTTGTTGATAATTTGGTGTTGATTGTAGGTTTTTGAATGGATAGACTGTTAGGTAAACATGTCCTGGTGGCAGGGTGTACCTAACCATGACCTCATTTCCACGGTTCATGGTAAATATTAAGTGATGGTTAGGTTAGGTTCTCAGATAATGTAAGCAAAATTTCAACTATATTTGGTGTATGGAATAATGGTAAGGTGTACATGTTCATTTAACAGGTTTCAGCTGACCTTGACTTGATTTTCAAGCATTACTGATATTGTTGAGTTTATGTGAAACCTGAAACTTTTAGCTCACCTGGTCTCAAATTACCTTTAAATGATGACTTTTACCCTTTTAAAGAAACTAAAGTGGATAGAGAGAATCTTTTGAAAGTCAAAATGTTAAAAAAAATATGATTTTCAACATAGACGAATGGTCAATTGACCACTTATAAGAGTTATTGCCCTTGAAAGGCAGGTTTACTAATGTTTTGAATTTTTTGCAGAAACTGTTATAGACCCAGAGAAATTGTAAAAAGCCAAAATATTTAGCAAAATAAGATCTACAAATAAGTAAAACTGGCCGAAATTGTCAATTGACCACTTAAAAAAGGACAACCTGATTGAAATACAGATCCTGTGTCAATGCTTCACTAACAATGATCTGAAAACACTCTGTTCTACTTTCTGTTTTAAAGATCATTCGGGATCTTCTGGTTTTGTCATAATGATACACACCTTCCAGATTTTGGTGGCAGAAATTTCATTGGCTAATATAATAATTACTAGAACAGAGTGTTGTCAGATCTTTGTTAGCAATGTGTGGACACGTAGTCATATTTTAATCAGATTGATAGGAGGAATAGAAGGGGGAAAAAGTATCAAATCGCATATTTTGTACCAGATGAGTGATTCAGGCTGTTGGGCAGTTTAGAGCTTGCCATATTGTATAAACTGTGTATCAACAAAAACTTTAATTTGACCTCTAGATGTCATTTGGTTATTGAGTAGTTGTTTGATTGAGTTATACTGTAAATTCAGAAATTATTGCGAGGTTTTTATTAATGCGAATAATGCGACTCGGTTAGTACCGCAATAATAAGAACTCGCATTTAGGTAGCTAAACCATTGATCTATATGTAGATTTTTCTAAAATCGCAATAATTGAACTCGCATTCTTGTCCATTTTTGAAAAATCGCAATAATAAATGCACGCAATAATATCTGAATTTACAGTAGTCTATTCCACACATTTCATTTTATTGACATTGATCATGAGTATACAGGGCTTTGACATTCAGTAAAACAGGGCTTTGACATTCAGCATTCAGGCCTTGGACATTCAGTATACAGGGCTTTGACATTCAGTATACAGGGCTTTGACATTCAGTATACAGGGATATGATTTTCAGTATACAGGGCTTTGACATTTTGCAAGTGCAAGAAGATTCAACAAGCATCCAGGCACTACGCCTGTCTTTTATTATTTGTCATTATAACAGGGTTTTGCTGATGGTATAATGGAAGTAAACAAATTGTTTTGGCGCTACAAATCAGTGGATATAATAGGTGTTTATCTACTAACCAATCCTTAAATGTAGGTTCTTATTTTACATTGATTGAATAATGTTCATAATAATGCATTGTAGAATTTCCTATCGCTAAATTGAGTTTAATTATGTAATATGGTACATGGATGCATGCATGCATAAATCTTTATTCTAATATCAAAACAGTCCATTCCAATGCAGGACCAGTCAGCTAAGGATAAGGCATTGCAAAGTATGGCATCCATGTCATCAGCCCAAATTGTATCTGCTAGTGCCATTCACAATAAAGCAATTCAGCAGGGACTTGCAATTCCTCACAGTGTTGGTCCAGTTCGACCGTCATACTCAGCAGGTGCTTCACAAGTAAGTTATCTGTAAAGATCTGTTGTAAAACAAATTAAGTTGTAATTTTTGTGGGCATGCTCAAAAACTGTTGTCAAGACTGTTGATTATAATTTTATTTGAATGATTATAAGTACAATGTTTGTTAATTGATAGGTTAATGAAAGTTTTATCAGAATAAATACCTTAGACATGTATTTTTTCAAATTAAAAGATTATGTTATTCATAAATGTAATTACATGGTTTTGCTGTAATGATTTGCTTTGTATTTTTTATTTTGATTTGCAAGCCTTATTTGAGTTGTGTACTTTGTTTCAGTTTTGGCCTCAAAATAATGTTGGACCTCAAACTGAGTAAGTATACATGTTAAAAGCTTGTTTGCTTTAAATGTTTATCATAATTATAATTCTTCCAGGTTATTAAATGTATGGTATATTTTAATGTATAAAACTCCCAAATTTCCATTTGTCATATTATAATTTGTTGTCAAATGAAGTCAGTTATTTTGTGTTACAAAACTTCTGAAGTCATGTAAGAGTGGGACATATTTGATGTTTGATTAACATCCAACATGCATATTCAGGAAAATGACATTTAAATGAGTCTTGACCCTGTGTTGAACTAACCCTTCATTCTTCATTGGAATTTTATCATGCTAACCAACAAAGTAACTGTTGGTAGAAAAATTTGTCCTGTTTAGGACATAATTATTCTGACATAAAATTCATCAGTCTTTCCTCTTCAAAATGTTACTTTTTACCATGCGGCCAAATTCTATTTTACTATTGCTGCATTAACCCTTCAATTAGTTATGTTCAATTGTCTCAATAGAAAAATGAATGTTTCTTGGAAGATAATGATAATTTGCTATATATTATTATGAAATATTACTTTCTAAGATGAGATTTAGTTAACTTCACATTTCATTAGTATTGTATGTCCCATTGAAGATTCTAATGCAATTTTTAGCTCACCTGGCCCAATGGGCCAAGTGAGTTTTTCTCATCACTTGGCGTCCGTCGTCATCGTCCATTAACTATTACAAAAATCTTCTCCTCTCAAACTACTGGGCCAAATTTAACCAAACTTGGACACAATCATTATTGGGGTATCTAGTTTTAAAAATGTGTCCGATGACCCGGCCCACAACCAGGATGGCCGCCATGGCTTAAACTAGAACATAGGGGTAAAATGTAGATTTTGGCTTATATCTCTGAAACCAAAGTATTTAGAGCAAATCTGACATGGGGTAAAATTGTTCATCAGGTCAAGATCTATCTACCATAAATTTTCAGACAAATCAGACAACCCGTTGTTGTGTTGCTGCCCCTGAATTGGTAATTTTAAGGACATTTTGCAGTGAACGGATCTCTTTAAAATTTAACCAGAAGGTTCAATACCACAAAAGGAAGGTTGGGATTGATTTTGGGGGTTATGGTACCAACGGTTTAGGAATTAGGGGCCAAAAACAAGCATTTTTGTAGTTTCAGGACAATAACTTGTGTAAGTGTATGGATCTCTCTGAAATTGTACCACAAGGTTCCATATCACAATGGGAAGGCTTGGATTGAGTTTGGGGGTAATTGCCCCAAATTTTCAGGAATTAGGGGCAAAAAAGTCGCCAAAAACAAGCATATTTCTAGTTTCCAAACAATAACTTGTGTTTAAGTGTATGGATCTCTCTGAATTTGTAATACAAGGTTCCATTCTACAAAGGAAAGGCTGGGATTGAGTTTGGGGGTAATTACTCCAAGGAGGGGTTCAAAAAGTTTGGAGGGGAATTTTTTAGTCCCCTACCGAGGAAGTCCAAGAGGACTTTAGGTTTCCACTCCATCTGTCTGTGTCTGTCTGTCTGTCCATCCGTCAGTCCGGCAAATTAGTTTTCCACACTTTTTTTCTTCGTGTTTGAAGATATTGATTTAATATTTGGTGTATTGTTTTATCATGACAAGTTACAGTTCAAGTTCGAATTTTGTGTCGGTCTGATTTTGTGCAGAGTTATGGTCCTTTGACTTAGAAAATTCACTCAAATAATCAGTTATCCGCACTTTTTTTCGTCAAGCAAGATATTGATTTGATTATTGGTATATATTTTTATCATGACAAGTTACAGATCAGATTTGAATTTTGTACCAGTCTGATGATTTTGTGCAGAGTTATGGTCCTTGGATTTCGAAAATTCACTTAATAATCAGTTTTCCACACTTTTTTTCGTCACGCTTGAAGATATTGACTTGATATTTGTTATATAGTTTACACCATGACAAGTTATAGATCAAGTTAGCATTTTGTTCCAGTACGATGAATTTTTAACCGGTAGGGGACTATGTATTACTATGCAATACTCTCAGAATGCTTGTTTTCCAATTTTTTTGAGGGGTTCATATTTTTTTTCTTCAATATTTTTCAAAATATTTCAAATTTTTATTGGAGTGGAGGGGGGGGGGGGGGCATTTTTTTCATATTTTTTGTCTAAAAATTTTCCATTTTTACATTGATTATTTCTGATTTATATATAAAAGCAACATATACTGATATGGCAGGAGATGCACACCAAACAGGGTGTTTAAATTATTATATATAACAGATTAACAGTATTGCGCAATAACAAGAAATATTCAATTGCACAGTATTGCGCAATAGCAAGAAATCTTCAATTGCGCAATAGCAAGAAATCTTCAATTGCACAGTATTGCGCAATAGCAAGAAATCTTCAATTGCACAGTATTGAGCAATAGCAAGAAATCTTCAATTGCACAGTATTGCGCAATAGCAAGAAATCTTCAATTGCACAGTATTGCGTGATAGCAAGAAATCTTCAATTGCACAGTATTGCGCAATAATTTTTAATTTTGGGGGGTTCTCACCTTGTATTACTATTTTGGATATTGGGCCCCATTTTTAAATTGGTCTACATTGAGGTCCAAAGGGTCCAAAATTAAACTTTGTTTGATTAGTCCCCTACCGACTAAGTCGAAGGGGACTTTAGGTTTGCAATCCGTCCGTCCGACTGTCCATCCGTCAGTCCGGCAAATCAGTTTTCCACACTTTTTTTCTAAGTTCTTGAAGATATTGATTTGACATTTGGTATATAGTTTTATCATGACAAGTTATAGATCAAGTTCGAATTTTGTTCTGGTCTAATGATTAAGTCCAGAGTTATCATGATCCATATCCAATGTTAGAGTACTGCATTTTTTATGTTTAACCATATTTCTGTACAAAGGGAGATAACTGATTTTTTTAAAGACATTCTTTGGTAAATTGTTTGAAGTGTTTGTTATTTTGTATAAACTAATTTTGTGAATGCTACAATGTATATACCGTTAAATTCGTTAAATAAGCCGCAGGTTTTTTTCTCTGTCATTGTCCCTGCGTGTTATACTCAGGTGCACTTTATGTACGTATATTTTCAGTGTTTCAGGGCAAGTGTGAAAAAAAAATTATATCTGGATTTTTTTTATGGAGACCTTCAGATTGTCAAGTGCTTGCAGTGACTTGATAAATTGTTCATGTGGCATATTTTGTTATGAATAAAAATATATATACTTTATCATTTGTTCTTTATTTCATTGTTGGCTTACGAAGTTGATAACCATGAGTGTTCATTACATAAACAAAGAAAGATAACTGTGTTTGAAAGAGGTACCATACAGGATATTAATTGTGTATTTACAATAAATATGTAATGGTTTGTTGTTTTAATGTGTTTTTAAATAAAATCTCCTAAAGGAATATTAAAGGAAGTGATTGTGTTTCTTTCCAATATTTCAAGTCTCTTTTAATGACGATGGTGATAACCATGTGCTGAAATGAACCCTTTAAAGTGTTTCATAAACAAAGAAAGATAAGCGTGTTTGAAAAGAGGTACCATACAGGATATACTATTGAGGAGTAACTGCTTTTCGTTTTATTGTGTTTCAAAATGAAATATCTTCATGAAATATTGTAGCCACATATTATCGGATGTATGAAATGAAGAAAAGAATATTAATTTTCATAATTTAATATGCTAAGACATTTATATATCGCCGTCTTATTTGAATTCCCCTTTCCGTGGCCCATCTCACTTTCAGTTAAAAATAGACAATGACTTGCAGAAACTGAATGGTTTTGTTCGTAGTATTCAACCAAGTTTAAATTTAAAAATGTTTGAAGCTAATAAACTAAAACTTTTATTTTATAGACAACAATAAAATTCTTCAAATTTAATTTGATAATTTGTTTTCCCCTGACTTATGCGTGACCAGTTAACATGTGACTACAGGTATACCTGGTATTACGTAATAATCAAGGTAAACAATGGCAGTTTTATGGCTTGAGTGACCTTTAATGAATACATTTTCAAGAAAGATTAAAATCCTTGATTCCAATTGAAACAATTAACGAGCAATCAACACCAAACTAATTTTAATCAAAACAACAAGTTCAATGGACACCCAAGCTGTCAACACATGGCCATTGATGACAAAAACAACTAATGAATTTGGCGTCATTAAAACAATAAGAAAAGTATAATAATTTTATTAACATTTTTTACTTTAATATGAAACAAATACATATAATCAAAATGCCTTTCAACTTTCTCAACAATCTGAAAATAGAAATGAAACATGTTACGCAGTGAGTTACAAAAGCGAGTGAACATTCATTACTCTAAGGTCAGTAGAATGCATACTACATTTTCATTAGGGTGCGCTTTATATTCAGGTGCGTTTTATGTAAGGAAAAAAACACTTCTTCCCCCAAAAAACGGCCGTGCGCCTTATTTAGGGGTGCGTTTTATTTTCCGCAAAATACGGTATATAAAAAAAAATTATGAAGTGAAATCCTTTAATTAGATAATAAAGTATTTTTATTAAGGTATATATTTCATTACATTACATTGTGTATAGATAAAAGTTGACATTTTATAGATAAGTTACAAATCTAAATTAGTTTGTGACAAATGAAAGAAAAAATATTTGGAACTATTAATTATATTTGATTATAATTTGAAAATAGATATACATTGTATTACATCATATCTAATGTAAAGAGTGTTTTCCACACATTTTTTCATCATGCTTGAAGATATTGATTGATAATTGGTATATATTTTTATCATGACAAGTTACAGATCAAGTTCAAATTTTTGTTTCAATCTGATAATTTTGTGCAGAGCTATGGTCCTTGGACTTGAAAAATTCACTCATATAATCCGTTTTCCACACTGCTTTTAGTCATGCTTGAAAATATTGACTTGATATTTTCTTTTTGTTTACACCATGACAAGTTATAGAACAAGTTAGCATTTTGTTCCAGTATAATAAATTTTTACTAGGTAGGGGACTATGTATTGCCATGCAATACT